TTTGAGCTGGGCATGGTGCCCGTGCCCCCCCAGACCCCCGGAATTCCCTGTTTTTCCCCCCCGTTTTCCCTGTTTTTCCCAGCAGTGCGCCCGGGCAGTGTCCGGACCATGATCCAGCATTTCGAGGGCGGCCACGGCGACACCGAGCCCGGGGGGCAGCGCCTGTCCACGGGCAGCGTCCCCGAGGGGCTGCTGGAAAACCACAGGTCAGCGCCAAATTCCCGGAACTCCGGGAATTCCACACCCCTGGGGGGGTCCCGCGGGGTTTTCCCCCAAAATTCCGGGGTTTTCCCGTGGGTTTTGAGCGAAATATTGGGATTTTTTAACTTTTTTTTTCTCCAAATTCCGTGATTTTTGACATAAATCCTGGGATTTTTTTCCCCTAAATCCTGGCATTTTTCTCTCCCAAATCCCAGGATTCTTCCTCTAAACCTTGGGATTTATTTCTCCTCAATCCCTGGGATTTTTGGCCATAATTCCTGGGATTTTTTCGCCTGAAATCCTGAGATTTTTGGCCACAATTCCCCAGTTTTTTACCGTAATTCCTGGAATATTTTGCTGCGAATCTTGGGATTTTTGCCAGAATTCCCAGTTGTTTTTTTTCTCCTAAATCCCAAGATTCCAGCCATAAAACCCCATATTTTTTCCTCTAAATCTTTGTTATTTTTGCCTCAAATTCCTGAGATTTTTGGCCACAATTCCTCAGATTTTTACCGTAATTCTTGCGAATTTTCACTACGAATCTCGGGATTTTTGCCAGAATTCCCATTTTTTTCTCATAAATCCCAGAATTTTTGCCATCAATCCCAGGATTCTTTTCCTCTAAATCCCTGAGTTTTTTGGCCACAATTCCCCGGATTTTTACCGTAATTCTTGCGAATTTTCGCCGCGCATCGCCGGATTTTCGCCGCGGTTCCGGGGATTTTTGCCAGAATTCCCGGATTTTTTCCAGAATCCCCGGATTTCTCACCCAAATTCCCGTTTTTCCCCCCCCCAGCTCCCGCCCCGAGGTGCGCCTGGGCCGCTCGGAGTCGCTGAAGGGGCGGGAGGAGCTGCGCCGCTCCCGCCGGGCCGAGCCGGTGCCGCGCTCGCGCAGCGACGTCGACATGGACGCCAGCACCGACCCCCCCCGCCTGCACTCGGCCTCCTCCTCCGCCTCCAGCCTCTCCAACAGGTCGGGATTCCCAGGAATTCCCCGAATTCCCCACCTCACAAACCCCCATTCTGGGATCAGGGGGGTTTGGGGTCGGAATCCGGAGAATTGGGAGTGGTGGGATGGGGGGAATTTGGGGTTTTGGGGTTGAAGTTGTTGGTCAAGGTTGAGCCTCGGGGATTTGGGGATTCTGAGCCCAAGTTCTGGGAATTCTGATCCCCAAAGTTTGGGGTGGTGGAGGTTTGGGATGGGAGTCTGGGAAACGAAGGGAAATTGGGAGGGCAAAGTTTGGGATTTGGGGATTTTTGGGAAGAGGGTGAAGATCAAGGTTCAGCCTCCAGCCTCTCCAACAGGTCGGGATTCCCAGGAATTCCCAGGAATTCCCAGAATTCCCCACCTCACAAACCCCCATTCTGGGATCAGGGGGGATTGGGGTCAGAATCCAGAGAATTGGGAGTGGTGGGATGGGGGGAGTTTGGGGTTTTGGGAGTTTTGGGGTTGGGATTTAGGGGGTTGGAAGGAGGAGGTTTTTCCCTCCAGAATCCATGGGAAATCCATGAAGAAATCCCTGGTAAATCCATTTTGAGATCCGTAGAAAAATCCATGGAAAATTCATGGAAAATCCATGGAAAAACCATTAAAAAAATCCATGGAAAATTCATTTCAAAATCTATGGAGAAACCATGAAAAAATTCATGGAAAAACCATGAAAAATTCGTGGAAAAATCCGTGGAAAATCCATTTAAAAATCCATGGAGAACTCCCTGGAAAAGCAGCAGGATTTGGGGTGAAATCCCTGGATCTGGAAGCTGAAACCTTTGGGATTGGGGGAATTTGGGGATTTGGGAATTTTGGGTGATTTTTCCATCCTTTTCCCAGATCCCTGGAAAATCCAACCCCCCCCTACACACCAAAGATGGGGCGCAGGTGAGTGACCCCCCTGGAATTCCCAGTTTTTCCC